GGGGATAAGGATTGGATCGTACGGACAGCCGATAGATTCTTAAGGAGATCGGATATCTTTGTTTTGGTGCGGTTTTCATCGGGATTTCTTCTGACCAATCTGTTTCCAGCCTTGTTTAAGGTGAGTACGTGACTGTGGTTGGTGTCTAGGACCGTAGGATTGCTAGGGTTGAATGTTTGCATGTTGATTGTGTGATTTTCATGTTATGTGGTTAGAACTGATAAGCAATTCCTATGTTATGATGTATTGTGGTGTTTACCGTGGCATATATGATGTCTAGCTAACCTCAGGGTAATCGGGATCATGTACTAGCTTAGGGGATATGGGATTCTCGCTGAAGTAGGCATGAGTCTTAAAAAGGGATTGAACTTGGTTGGTTAGGCTAGATGATCATGGCCGTTTGATATTGTTATGTCTATTGCGAATTGATTATGTTGAATGTTGAATCCGAAAGTATGATTGCGTGTTTGGTACTGACCAGGTGTTACGGGATGACCGTACTCACTAAGTATTTATGAAATACTTATGCCTCTCATCTTGAGTGTGCATGTACTAAGCAGTAAAGGGGCGAGACCAGGCGGCAGTGATGGATATGGATGAATCGGGACTTGGTTTTATTTATGTTTAAGACTTGTGTTTAGGGTCTTATGGCTTTGGTGTTTGACTATTTAGGGTGCTAGATGATCGTTTGTACTTATTAGCGAACCATTGTGATTTGTTTAAGTTAGCCCCGAATCCTGTTTAAGTGTTTTATGAAAGTTAAATGAATGAAATGAGTTGCTTTATATTCCGTTGTGTATTGATAAGAAAGAATAAGAATAAAGGAAAAAGTTTAAAAATATGGCTAAGTATAGAAACGGACTTAGAGGATGTAGTGGGACACAGCCGCAGTACGGTTTACCGGGTTGGGTTACCACAAATTGGTATCAGAGCGTTTTAACGCTTCTAAGACTGAAATTGGTGACTGCTGTTGTTTGTTTGTTTGGGGTTTATAGGGGTCCAATCCATTCTTCACTGCCAAGGTCTCGCGGTAAGTTGTTGTGTGGTGTTGTGAAACACGTTTTGAGTTAGCTTCGGCTAACTGGCATTGTGTACTTGCAGTTGGTTGATACCAGAAGAACCGTGAGAAACAATAGGGACAACCAGGCTGCGGGGTCTGTGAACTCAGTCAACGGTGATGTTGCTGAGAGGGCAAGGGAAGCCGAGAGACAGGCAGCTGCGGTTGCAAATGAGGCGGCTAGAGTGGCAGCCGTGTAAGCAGCAAGGAATGCTGCAGATGCTGAGAACGTGGCTAGGAATGCTGCGGGTGCAGCTGGGGTTGCTGTGAATGTAGCACCAGTGGGGTTAGAGGCTGTGCTTGGGATGTTAGCACATGTACTAGCTAGGCTACCTGCGGTGGCTCCTGCTCCGGCGGTTGCAGGAGCACCATAAGTAGTACCACCGGTGGGGGTTCACGCGGATGTGATTGGGGAGGAAGCGGACCAAGTGGAGAGGGTTCCGAGTTACCTCAAGGTTTTGGATCACATGGTGCGGTTGGGAACCAAGTTCTTTGCTGGAGGTTCTACACCGATTGAGGCAGATGAGTGGAGGATGAGACTGGAACGGAATTTTGAGTCTATCCGATGTCCAGAGGGCTACAAGAGAGACATTGCCGTGCACTACTTAGAGGGTGATGCACACACGTGGTGGAAAGGAATCGTTGGAAGGATGGTGAATGTGAATTGTTCTTATGAGACATTTTCAGCGATGTTCAGGAGTAAGTACTTCCCACAAGAAGCTTACAACGAGTTGGAGAAGGCGTTTATGTACCTTACTCAGGGGACGCTTACAGTGAGGCAGTATGAGACTCAGTTTAATCAGCTGAGGAAGTATGTGTCTCATGAATTTGACAGGGAAGAGAAGCTGATTCGCAGGTTTATGAGTGGACTTCGAGTTGAGCTTAGGAACGGATGTGTAGTCCGTGACTTCAGGATAGTTGCTGAGCTTGTAGAGAAGGCGGCATTGTTGGAGTCAGGACAGGCGGAAGTTGCGTTGATGTCAGCTGGGGCTAGTACAGCCGTGACCAAGGCGGGTCAGTCTAGTGGACAGAACCGGAAGTTTGGGAAAGGAGTACCGAACAAAGGATCTGGGGGACCCAGCGTGTGCAGCAAGTGTGGCAAGGCTCACGTTGGCGAGTGTAGGCGCGGTGGTAGTAGATGCCACAGGTGCGGGAGTTTAGAGCATCGGGTACGAGACTGTCCGGAGGAGGATCAAAGAGTGGTCCGTGTGTCCGGCAGTGATGGTGCGGTTCGGGTTTGCTACGGTTGTGGAGAGCCAGAGCATTTCAAACGTGAGTGTCCTAAGGCGGGAGTGGTGGAGCAGGCCGTGGCTCAAGGGAAAAGAGCAGGGGAGGCGCTTGCATCACAGGCCAAGAGACAGGCAGCAACCGAGGAACCGAGCACTTCTCATCCGATTACTGGTACGTGTGGTACATAATGTTTTCTTTAAAATGCTTTTGCGTGATGTGTGTTAGTATAGAGTCTTAGCATTCTAGGGAATGAATGTGTAGGGACCTTGCTAATGGGTGAGGTTGAGACCCATGTTCTGTTTGACTCGGTAGCGAGTCATTGTTTTGTTAATCCAGACATGATCGGAAAGGGACAGTTCCGGAAGGAACCCGGAGAGGACTTTGGGTTAGTTCAGGCGGCTGGAGACCAAGTGATGTTTTCATTAGGAACGGTTAGGAATGTTCCAGTGATGTTTGGCGAAGTGAACATGCCAGCGGATCTAGTGATCTGTAGAGTTAAGTCCTACGATGTTATTTTGGGAATGGACTGGTTAGGCAAGCACATAGCTCACTTGGATTATCACCGTGGAAGGGTGCGGTTTGAGAGAGACGGAGAGGTCTTGGTTTATCAGGGAGTTAGACCAACCTCAGGAAGTTTGGTGGTTTCAGCTATTCAAGCAGAACGGCTGATAGAGAAGGGTTGTTGTCTGAGGAAATGTGGAATGATCGTACCGGACAGGGCGTTGTCCGAGGAATAATCGAGCCAACGGTCGGATATTGGCTGAGAAATGGATGTTCAGACTATGGTCGGGTGATGACCGAGGAAATAGTCGGGTATGGGCTGGATAGCCGAGCCGGATGGACCATATCCGAGGGAAAACAGGGTCCAGTCAGTGGGAAATGGGATTTATCCCGGTGCAGTGGGATTTATCCAAGAGTCTGGGAGGTTAGTCCGAGTTTCAGTGGACTGTCTCCGAGGGAGAAAGGAAAACCTCCGAGAGAAATAGAGGATTAGCCGAGATGGGACAAGTCGTCCGAGAGAAATAGGAATATCCGGGTGAAAAATGGAAAACACCTCGGATAAGGACGGTTTATCCGAGTGGGAAGGGATTTGGGCCGTGGGCCAAGTGTATGGTCGGCTATTTTGGGGTTTATTGAAGGAATGGTCGAGCCGGTACAGGGAATAGCCGAGAGAATCGAATCGGACCAGGATAAAACTTACTGGAACCAGGAAAACGTCGGATAAGTCTGGGTTACCTAGGGTTTTGCGAGTATTTACGGGATTTTGAGACTTTTCTCGAGAGAGTTGTGTTTATTCGAGAGCAATAAAGCAAAGAAAAAGGATAGTCGAGAGAAAACCCTAAGAAAAACAGTTTATCCCGAGGACATCCGAGAGAGATCAGGTTATCGCCGAGCAGAACCGACCATCGCCGAGATAAATTGGTAAGCGATCGGATATTTCCCTAAGTGTTGAGTTTTCATCGGATAACCTCGAGCTAATAGCCTTGTTTTGTGGGGTTTCTGAGGGAAAACAGAGTTTGGCTCGAAGAAAGGTGAACGGATCGAGAGATAGCCGAGGGGATAAGGATCGGATCGTACGGACAGCCGAGAGATTCTTAAAGAGATCGGATATCTTTGTTTTGGTGCGGTTTTCATTGGGATTTCTTCTGACCAATCTGTTTCCAGCCTTGTTTAAGGTGAGTGCGTGACTGTGGTTGGTGTCTAGGACCGTAGGATTGCTAGGGTTGAATGTTTGCATGTTGATTGTTTTATTTTCATGTTATGTGGTTAGAATTGATAAGCAATTCCTATGTTATGATGTATTGTGGTGCTTACCGTGGCATATATGATGTTTAGCTAACCTCAGGGTAATCCGGATCATGTACTAGCTTAGGGGATGTGGGATTCTCGCTGAAGTAGGCATGAGTCTTAAAAAGGGATTCAACTTGATTGGTTAGACTAGATGATCATGGCCGTTTGATATTGTTATGTCTATTGCGAATTGATTGTGTTAAATGTTGAATCTGAAAGTATGATTGCGTGTTTGGTACTGACCAGGTGTTACGGGATGACCGTACTCGCTAAGTATTTATGAAATACTTATGCCTCTCATCTTGAGTGTGCAGGTACTAAGCAGTAAAGGGGCGAGACCAGGCGACAGTGATGGATATGGATGGATCGGGACTTGGTTTTATTTATGTTTAAGACTTGTGTTTAGGGTCTTATGGCTTTGATGTTTGACTATTTAGGTTGCTAGATGATCGTTTGTATTCATTAGCGAACCATTGTGATTTATTTAAGTTACCCCTGAATCCTGTTTAAGTGTTTTATGAAAGTTAAATGAATGAAATGAGTTGCTTTATATTCCGCTGTGTATTGATAAGAAAGAATAAGAATAAAAGAAAAAGTTTAAAAATATGGCTAAGTATAAAAACGAACTTAGAGGATGTAGTGGGACACAGCCGCGGTACAGTTTACCGGATTGGGTTACCACAATTTCTATTGAGGATTTTGAGAACTTTTGAGATACTATATAATCACACTTGTCTCCAAAGAGTTAAAAATTTAATTATAAAATTTAATTATATTAAAATAATGATATTTGTTTGCTTGATAATCTTTATATGTATTTCATGGACGGAAATGCTGTATTGCATGGCAAATAGCATCCATGTTAAATCTTGTCCTAAAAATAATACATTCGTTTTGTTGAAAAAATTCACAATGAATGGTTTCATGCATGATGTTGTTGTTGAACTATCAAAACAGAGACCATAGATCTAAGGTCTTTAACCGCCAACAAATCTCCGACGACACCTAACTCCTGAAGTTCCATCCACTCTTTGAGTCCTGAAAAGTCCAGTGGTGACATTCCATGATCTCTTCCAACCACCATAAGATCATAATCTTCTGCGACCAATCGAACCGTAGTTGCCACTTCAGGACCACCGGTGACAGTCCTCTCAGTATATGCAATGTTGTTTCTTGTCTCTGAATCCATTAAATCATTTATAACCTCGTGATCAAGAATGTAATCCCAGGTCGTCGAATCTGTTTCGCGGTTAGATATTAGTCGAACCACAGCCACACGGACCTTTGGGTTATGTTTCATCCTTTTCACTAGCGACAATGCCTCACGGTCGTCTTTGCCTCCAATAAATATCGCACATACATTGATGATGTCCTTTCTCTTGCCTTTACGCAAGAGCTTTCCACGATCCACGAGTATCCCAATAGAACATGGCGCACGTTCTAGTAGCGAGATGTTGAGACGCCTTATGGCCACATCGTCTGACTCGAACGCCCCATCAATGGTCCATGTTCTTCCAGACGGGACAACAATCATCGACGTTGTCTGGTCTAACGCGAGCTTGCAGATGTCTTCGTGCATTAGGTTCTCATGCGAGAGAGCTGTGAACATGGCCATAGTCGTTGAATCGAAGCTTTCCTTGATGAGCTGAGTGAAGGCAAGGTTTGCGGTATGGATGTAGGAGTTATTGATCCGTTGTTTCGAATTCTTGTTGTGCGAGATCAAGACCGGGACGATTTGTCCCACGAGCTTCACAAGGTGGAGAACCGTGACCATGATGGGGTGTTCTTGGTTCGGTGAAGATAATAGTTGGATGAACGCAATGGCCCTAGAGATGTTCTCAGGTTTTTGCACACAAGTTAGAATACGAAGATCTGAGTTTTGTTTCAGACTCGAGATGTTTCTTTTTTGGTAACAAATGTACTTTCTCTTTGGATCGTACAGACTCCTTATGACTACCGGGACAATCCCAGAGTTTATTAGCGTGTAAAAGATCAAGAACGAGTATGTTGCTTGGGATATATACTGTTAAAAAAAAGAGCAGTATAAATGTATATAGATCATAAATAAGGGATTATAAAGATCGGAATTATAAAGATAGGGATTACCTTATCATCTAATGTAGATTCATAGAGAAAGATTTCTGGGAAACTCTTGCAGCTCAAGAGGATGGAAACAGCTATAGACTCCTTGAGAGGTAACTTGCAGTACAAGCAAGGTGCAATACCCGCAACCATTTTCAAGACGATTGTAAGTACCATAAGAAAGATGTTGTATAAGATTTCATCTAGCTGATAGACAATCCTCATAATATCGCATCGCATCGTGCTGAAAGCGATGGAGATTGGCAAGAACACGTTCAACGTGAGCTTCTCATACTTATTTTCTAAGGTAGATCCTAAAGGTGGACCTTCTGGTATAACGAGGCCGATCATGACTGGTCCTAGGAGGGATTTCATGTGGAAGCCCGTGGAGTAAACGGCAGATCCCAGTACGGCTAAGATAACAGCATGTATATACTTATTCGCCACAGGTTTGCCTTCCGGTGTTTGTTCTATAATCCATTCAACAGCCGGCTTAACAACAAAAAAAACGAAGAGAAAGAACATGATCATTGCGATAAGATCAACGTAGGCGGTCGAGTGGGAGATGTTCTTGTATGTTCCAAGAGAATAAGCAAGTACAATGAAAGAAACGCCAAGAATGTCATTGATAATGGATGCAGACAATGCAAGGCGACCAAACGCGGAGTTGAGGATATTTAGTTCCGTCAAGAAATAGGTGATGGTTGGCAAGAGAATCGAAGATTGTGTTGCAATGATCACGGAGCGCTCGGCGAGACCCTTTTTTATCGGGATGTGATGGCTGATGTTATCAGTGAGGATGTTCCGAAAAAAGAAGCCTACAACGAGAGGAACGATGAAGGTCAAGATCCCAATCACAATGGGCAACGGTCCGCTATTGAAAACCACTCGACGACTGGTTTTTAAGGTCATCAGGAATGTAAACATAATGGCTCCACAAGCCGAGAAGCTTCTTAAAGGTGCATTTCCATTCAACATAGGATCCAGTGATAGTTTCCCTGATGACTTCTCTCTAAGATCGAATAGCTGAGGTCCCATAATCAGACCAGCCTAAAAACATGAAAAAAAATAATGAAATCATAGTATCTTGGTTGTTTAATGATCTTTAACATCTTACGTTCATCGCAACTTCCATTTATTGTTAATTTTAAAACTACTAGTCGCTTACGTGCATGTCAATTTACATTACATATGCCAGTTATATTTATAACTAAGGTCTTACATGTAAAACCTAGATAAATCTTTGAAAACTACGAAAATCTAGATATTCTTGTCATATAAGATATTTTCAGTGACAAACCATAATTGAAATCGTAGTTAAAAAATCGATTCTTATCTATCAATTAACATGATGTAATGGGACAAAAATATGGAAAAGGTACTTACGATCATATAGGAAACGATCTTAGAAATGCCGATATATCTAAGGAACATATGAGTCATGACGACAGATATGAAGATGAGTAATATCTGAATCTCCATGAGTGGCAATGAAAACCCAAATATCACATCGGGTGACTCTAAATTCTCCCATAATCCATTGGAAGAGACGTTGAACAGTAAGGGTCGGCAATCGTCGATATAGGTCGTCGTGTTCATGAATATGAACGTGGGTTAAGAAACGAGGGAAATGTCGAATTTGGTTTTAAAAAAGTAGAAATTAGAATATGTGAAACTTTGGATACGACTTCTAAAGGAATTGTAGATCTTGTCGTTATAGTTTGTTTTGGTCTTGGATAAGTATTTCTTTTCGTAGGAGGTAGTTAGTGTTAGAAGCTGTTTGGATTTTTGGCGTGTATGATTTGTTGAAAACCTACTTGTTCAAAGCTGGAAAACCTATACACCCAAATAAAAAAAAAATATAACACACACATTGACCTATACATACACGCATTTGCCATCGAAGAATAACAATACATTCAGATAGTTTTATTATGGAAAACTATTATTGGACAGAATAAGGTGTTTGTGGAATTGTTGACAGACAGAAATATATTTGTGGAAGAAGTGGACCTTTTAAAATTAGGAACACATCCACAGAGAAAGAATAGTTAATACTATAATAACATTAGAATCTCTCTAAGAGCTGACACTTCAACGCTTTCATGTGTTTTCATAGGACGATACGTCAAAATAGACTTGAATATAAAGCACTAATCGAAAGAATATGTTAATAGAGGCTTCGAGGAGCAAGGATAAAAAAAAAAAAAAAACTATATTGAGAAAAAATATCAAGCAACAATGACATGTCATTAAATCAACTCTCCAGTTTGTGATTTTTCTCATCCAGGGCTGTCTTGAAGTTTTGTGGGTCAGGGACAAATTGCAAAATATGTAACATAAAACTATAAAATATTCGTAATAAATCAACCAGTTCTATAAAACTTATTATATATACATAAAAAAAATCTTATATAATGCACCAGCAACAATAAGAACCAAGACATTGTCTCATTTTGCTTAGCTAAGAGCTGGTCTTGTTCTCATCTCTATAACACATCTACCTATCGTCTCATCTGCATAACACATCTCATATGCATAACACATCTTCCTCTTAAATCTTAAAACTTCTCCAAATGACCTCTTTAACTTTTCATCCCCAACGTTGTATTTTAATACATTGCATAAATAAACAAAAGTAAACAACCAGTTTTTAGAACACAAAAACAAACAACAAAATTAATTAATAAAAAAGGAAAATATGCACACATAGCATAAATAAAATGGCTAATATTTTTTTAAAAAATATTGTGAAAAAGAGTTTTATTACTAAAACATTCAGTTGATTCATCTGACAATAAAATGGAGTTTAATGTTATTTGATGAAAACATATATATGTTTAATCCACACTTGTATTAAAAAAAATTTCTAAACCACTTGTAAAAAATAAATAAACTAGCTCAATGAACAAATGGTGCATCCATCATAGACAAAATTATTCTTAAACTTGTGATTAAAAACTGGGCAGTGGCTCGTGGACATTCGCTAAACGTTCCTGCACGTCTCTCACACCAGCATCGTGTAGACATGCCTCCATGATTTAGTTAGATGGAATCCAAAAAAGAGAAAAATGATTAGTAAAGCAGGATTTAAAGAAAATCTTTGCTATATAAACCCATGACCTCGTTTCTTACAACACAAACAAAAACAAGAAAAACTAACCAACGTAGTTAGGCGTTGGCGGAAAAAGGCAAAGTCACAATGAGATCTTCTTCTAGGATGGGGCCTTCAGTCCAACTCATTTACGTTCTAGGCGTTATCATCATGGCAACAATGGTTGCTCCATATGAGCCACTCACGTATAGCTTGCCACCACTCCCGTCATATTCACCATCTCCAAAAGTATAATACAAGTCTTCTCCACCACCATATGTTTACAATTCTCCACCACCACCATCACCATACTACACTCCATCGCCTAAGGTTAACTACAAATCTCCTCCACCACCATATGTTTACAATTCTCCACCACCACCACCGTACTATTCACCATCTCCAAAAGTTGAGTATAAGTCTCCGCCACCCCCATATGTCTACATTCTCCAGCACCACCACCATACTACTCACCAACTCCTAAGATTGATTACAAGTCACCTCCACCACCGTATGTTTACAGTTCTCCGCCTCTCCGCCACCACCTCCGTACTATTCACCATCACCAAAAGTAGACTACAAATCCCCTCCACCATATGTTTACAGTTGTCACCACCACCAACGTACTATTCTCCATCACCAAAGGTGGAGTACAAGTCTCCTCCACCACCATATATCTACCGCTCTCCACCACCACCACCATACTACTCGCCATCTCCTAAGGTTGAGTACAAGTCTCCTCCACCACCGTATGTCTACAGCTCCCCACCACCACCATCATACTACTCACCGTCTCCTAAAGTTGAGTACAAGTCTCCTCCACCACCATATGTTTACAGCTCCCCAGCACCACCACCATACTATTCACCATCTCCTAAAGTTGAATACAAGTCTCCTCCACCAACTTATGTCTACAGCTCCCCACCACCACCACCATACTACTCCCCATCACCAAAGGTAGACTACAAATCACCTCCACCACCATATATTTACAGTTCTCCACCACCACCAAAATACTCACCTATTATTAAGTATAACTCTCCTCCACCAACATATGTCTACAGTCCTCCACCGCCGCCATATTACTCTTCCTCTCCTAAAGTAGACTACAAATCTCCTCCACCACCATATGTCTACAATTCTCCACCACCACGATACTACTCGCCTTCCCCAAAGGTATACTACAAGTCTGCTCCACCACCGTATGTTTACAGTTCTCCACCACCAACATATCATTCACCTTCCCCTGAGGTACACTACAAGTCTCCTCCACGGACATACTACTCACCATCTCCTAAAAATCATTACAAATCACCACCACACCCACATGTATGCGTTTGTCCACCACCTCCTCCATGTTATGCTCCTTCTCCAAAGACTGTGTACAAATCTCCTCCACCACCGTATGTTTACAGTTCTCCACCACCACCATATTACTCTTTATCACCGAAGGTATACTACAAGTCTCCTCCACCACCATATGTTTACAATTCTCCACCACCACCATACTACTCGCCTTCCTTTAAAGTATACTATAGTCTCCTCCACCACCGTATGTTTACAGTTCTCCACCACCACCGGCATACTACTCACCATCACTAAAGGTAGACTATAAGTCTCCTCCACCACCCTTTGTTTACAGTTCTCCACCACCACCTTCGTATTATTCCCCATCACCAAAGGTTGAGTACAAATCCCCTCCGCCACCATATGTCTACAGTTCTCCACCACCACCACCATACTACTCACCATCTCCTAAGGTTGAGTACAAATCTCCTCCACCACTGTATGTCTATAGCTCCCCACCACCACCACCACCATACTACGCACCATCTCCTAAAGTTGAGTACATGTCTCCTCCACCACCATATGTTTACGTACAACTCTCCACCACCACCACCGTACTACTCACCATGCCCTAAGGTAGACTACAAGTCTCATCCACCACAATATGTCTACAGTTCTCCACCACCACCAGATTATTACTTTTGATACATTCAGGTTTTACCCAAATAAAAGATTGCAAGTGCACAGACAATCGCAGTAATATAGATGGGATCAAATCTACAGAGACCAAGGTTACACTATGATTCTTAATGAATGAAGTGAAGCTAAGACAAGAATATGGGTAGCTGGATGGTTTTAAAACGAAAATAGCTAATAAACTTGGTAAAAGATCAAATTTAAACAAGCGTCAGGTCAAGGGCAATTCGGACAATTTGCAGGAATCAGAGATCATGAACCAAACAATTATTCAGGGAACAAATAGACACAATCTTGAACTCAAACATGAATGTATAACTAATCCACTGTCGTGGTATCAGAGAATTTATCTAGCAACCTAGGATTCTAAACTGTCGTTTGAACTTAGAATTATAAACAAGTATTAATGGTCAGGTTCGATTTGTTCACAGATTGACTTAACATCAGCTTTTGTTGGCTAAGGACAATCTGCTCATCTATGTTCTATCAAGCAATTTAAAACACTTTCATAGATAGATTAAACCCTAGATCAGAGACTAAGTGATCAATTCAGCCTAAGCAGTTGGCGCAACAATAGATGAAGACAACAGATGAATAAATCCCTATCTATGTCCAGTTCAATGATTCATAATTCTTTTGAAAATCATAAACCTAACTAGGGAACTATTCAGACATGGAAGAAGAATAAAAGCAAAGAGATGAAGAGAAATTCATAATCAATAAATAAAAAATCCAAAGGGGTTCAGAAATCTTCTTAAAAGATGTAGAGATTCTTCTCCCCAAGCTTCACAAATTGCAAAAAGCTCAAAATCTGAATAGAAAAATAATGGGTGGCTGCAACAATGGCCAGAAATAAGTATATATAGGTCCTAGGTCGTTTTAGGTCAAATCTCTTCCAAAACCGAGTTAAAATAGGAAAACTCGGGATTTCTTTTTTCTGCATTAATGAACCAATCGGTTTGGACAGTCTTCACGAAAACTAGCACAACTTTAGATCGAACCGTTGGATTACCTTCAAACCGCTTCCAAATGAATGATAACTCAAAGATCTAGCTTGTGTATCCATCGGTGGGAAGTGCCTCTCAAATATTTGCAAACGTCAGGCGTCTCTGCATAGTTCTGCATCTCCATATAGGTGTTTGCATCCAAAATGATTTCTTTTCTCCCAAAGCAACCTAAATCCTCAAAAGACTCGATAAAAAAACTAAAAGACTCTAAAAACACACTTTGACTCGAAAAACCATTGAAAATCTTGGATTCGAAAGCCTTAAAAATGCAGTATATCAACTCTCCTTCTCCAAAAGTTGAGTACAAATCTCCATCAAAACCTTCATATTACTGAAAACAGTAAAGCGATTCTTAAATAAGCTACTGAGCTTTATTTGATTTCAAATTTTTTCTTGTATTTTTTTATCTTAATACAACATGTATCCAATCAATTTCAATTTTCGTTATTAATAACTTCGGCATACCTTCATAAAGTTTCATGTTTTTTTTTTCATATATATGTGTAAAGATTGTGTGCAATCTATTTGTAGTCCTTTGCAAATTTCGATTATGTAATTTGCATATCCTTACATGGTAGCTTTGGATAATTTTAAAATCCTCTTAACATGAATTTTGTATATGGACTGCATACCTAAATTGCATGGATTATTTAAAATTCTTGTTCCACAACATCAACAAATTCTACCGCAAGAAGTGTTGGAACTTAAATTTTGGCTGTAATGAGGAATAACTACTCGTCAAAGTTTAAATTAATTTAAATAAAAAATTAATAGTTAAAGTGGACATGTAATCAAGATTAAAAGTCAAAATGTGCATTTGTCAAACAACGTAAGTATGAGAGTTATGATGCAAAACTAAATAAAAAATACTTTTTCAAAATAAATGTTTATTGACTTATCTATTATATAAAAAAATAGTTAACTCTCTTTAGTTGAGTGCCACCACGTCAGCGTTGGTGAAAGTGACATGTGTCCTTTCAAAATTTTATAATTAATAATTTATTATTATGAAGCAATCAAAGTTAGACTAATTAATTATTTACTTTTTAATTACATATTAATTAAATCATATCCCCTACACATTATTTAAGAAGTATAATTAGTAAAAAATGCTGATGTGTCATACTCATAATCAAAGTTAGTATATTCTATTGATGACATGTAAATGTGATATGTCAAATTTTCTAAAATAAATGAAATGTTTTGATTGGCTGAGTTAAAATTAAAAAAAAATTAAAATTTAACATAAATAGGAATTTGAAATTAAACATAAATAGACTAGATTATAAATAAAGTATTATGATTATTTTTTTTACATATATTCATAATTACATAAAGTATTACTACGAAACTTTTACAACAATACTGATAGCTTGCTATTTACTATCATTTTAGGGTGCATTTCCTGCATCTTTTCCCTTGTTCTTGCATTATTGTTTAGCATTTAAGTAGCATTTGCACTTAGAATCAACATAGCATGCATTTAGCTTAGGATTGCATACATGTGCATATTTATGGAAATTTTCATGTGTTTTGGAGTTTCTTGGAGCTGGAGAGGAGATGGAAGCAGCTTATTGTCGATAGAGATGTCAGAAATGGAGCTCTTGCAAAGTTTGGACCATATCGAGCAAGCATATCGAGCAGAACACATGTGGAGTGTGGTCGTTGCAAGCAGCAGGATGAGAGGAAAAGGATCAACACGAGAGTTCCAAGCTGTTGGTCTGCATCGAGGACCAGCATCGAGGAAGGACATCGATATGCGCTGCACATAGCATATTGAGGTGTAGCATCAAGGAGAACACCGAGAACCCACCTAGATATCGAGCAGAACACCTTCCTTTGCACCTCGATATGTCAACGCCGAGAGTTGACCAAATTTTTTCTGCTTTTTGTCAAACCTTATCTTCTTAGCTTATTTAAGCTAAACTTTATCTTTTTAGCATCTTATCTTCTTCTTTACCCTATTTTCGACCTAGTGGGAAACCACAAAGAGATTTTTATGGGATTTTGATCAAGATCATCTTTTTTATTAAGTATTGCATTTCCCTTGTCATTTTTCTTCTAGTTCTTGTTTAATCATGTTTGATCTATCTTTTCTGCTTGTTTCTGTTGATTTCATGATGTGTAGTGAGTAGTTTCATATGGTTTAAGGTTGGAGCAGATTTGGGGATGATTGGTTGATAGCTTAGGGTGTTTTGGTTTGATTATTACTTAGATCACTTAGCTTGGTTGTTCTTAAGGGTTAAGTAACCTGTTTATGTGAAATAGATCATAGGTGTTTGCTGCATCACAAGTGTTTGTTTAAATGCCTGAAAGAACTTTGCTAGGAACAATCGCTTAGATGATTATATTGCATTTAGGTTGTTTGTTTGGTCTATAAGACCCTTGTGTTTTCTTGCTGGTTTTGCACAGATACGTCATCACAAGTGGGTCTGACATATGCTTAACTTAGACATCTATGTTCTTGTTGTGGGCTGGTTTTGCATAGATACGCCATCACAAGTGGTTCTGACATGTGGTTAACTTAGTTATTTCTGCTCTTGATACAGATTGATTGATTTAGTGGCTTGATCATGTTCTTTGCTTGTTTTCAGTCTTGACCACCCTAGGTTTGATACTAAGTAATCTCCAAGTCATCATTGCTCTAACCTTGATCAGCGCTTCATTGTTCTTTGCTTTTCATCATTTTGTGTTCTGTTTTCCTCTGTTTTTAGTTGCTTTTCTTTTGCTCATTTCCTGCCTTGCATTTCAAGTTGTTGCATTTAGATCATTGTCTTGTAGTTTCTGTTGCATTTAGCTTCTTTGCATTGTATTGCTTGCTTTAGTCTTGTCAGTATTGCTTTTCACTTCTGCATCTCATCTTTGATCACTTAGGTTGTTAGAATCATCTTTCTTCATCATACATGGTTAAACTTAGTTAGTGTCTTGCATCTCTTTTATTCTAGCTCCTAGATGGATTGATTAAACTTCATCTATACTACATCTGATTTAGAGAGGGATTGAATTGAGACCCAAAAGTCCTTCTTCAAATATATTTATATATATATATATATATATTATAATTTCATATAAAAAAAGAATAAATAATAATATTAGATTATCCAGTAAGATAGTGAAGACTCTATATATTAATAATATTTAAAGTATGATATATTCTTATTTTGGAAAGTTATTAATTTATGCTAATAACATCTAAAAAGGTTTTAATTAGATACATTATTAGATAGTTGAATATAAAATAAAATACAATCATGATACAAGTAATTTAAAGAATAAAAATAATAAAATAATAATTAACTTTTATTGAAAGTTTTAAAAATAACATAACTTAAATAGTTTGTCTTTTCGAATCATTACTATTATAACTTAAATGATAATAAGATGAAATAAATATAAATAAAAAGTAAAAATAAAAATAAATCTTTACAGTTTTGATTTTTCGTAAATATATTGCGGCTTGTTTGACAAAATTATTTAAAAAATCTTAAAAAGATGCATTATTTTTAATGAACACATGTGCATACCAAAATTTATAATAAACACATGCGTGCAAATCAAGCATAAAAATAATTTCTGCTCTAACACCCAATATTGGACGAAGAGATGAGCGGAAAGCTACCAGAGAATTTTAGAAAATATGATTTCACAAATTTATAACTAATTTGTATTGAAAAGGAAAGTTACTAATAGATTATCCAATGTACTATATTTATCTTCATGGTAAAGTCAAATCTTAATGTTATTTAGTGTTTTTTTGTATTTTTTGTTAATATTTAATATAATTTTTAATCTGAAACCATATATCATAAAAAGCTGAAAAATAAGAAATTTTCATTAAATATTAAATGATATAAACGATTTTCGGGATTGTAAACTGCATCGTGTAAAAACATAACATTTGCGGCAAGATGTCAGAAAATCTAACCAACACC